ATATAAATCTAAATATCAAATATAATATAATAATAAATAATTAAGAAAATATGCTAAAGTTCATTTGATAACAATATCTTACTGCAAACTATTAAACAGGTTATCACCTTCTCACTATTAGACTAACAATCCTATAAAATAACTTAATTTCAACAACAACTCCTTTAACATATCTGTTTATTATTTTTATCTAATACTCTTTCTAACCAAGCTAATATCTTCTCTATATTACAAGACTTTGTCCCTAAAGATATTATTGATATCATAAATTCATATGCTAGCTTTTACAAAATAGCATCAGATATAACTATCAAACTACTTCTTAAGCTATCTCACAACCTATATGAACTAGTCTAGAAGCTATATTGCCTAAATTTATCTAACTAGAAAAATATACATAATATCTCTTGATACTCAGCTTCTCAAACTTCTTCTTCTATTCCTTGAAATTTTCTACTACATTTCTGAACACAACTCATATTTAACTACATCTGTAGTCTTCCTAACCAACAACATACAAACTCTAACTTCTGTTCTCCAAAAAGACTTATTCTTCACAAAATTGACATTTAGTCCTCTATGTAGATTAAATACAGTACTCCTACTAATTATATTCTAAACATTCAAATCTAGGTGAGTTTTAACTATTCTAGTAAGTCTAGATTGCAGATAAATTAGTTAGTTCTTCTTTCTATAGTCTGAGCTTTATTCTTGTATCAAAATTTGTAATTCTGAACAACTTCATGTAGTTTCTCTAACAAGTTTATTAATAAAGATAAGAGCAAAACCTCATCTTAATTAAAAAAAAACAAAAAAAAACAAAATTAATATATATACTAAATCCTAATTAGTTATTAGTAAATACCAAAAACTAATTCAAAAACCTATTAACTCATCATATATTCTCTCTTTCAATAACTAGCCTATCTGATATACACTACTAAATCTTATCAAATTATTTAACCTTACTCTTAATCTATACAAAGTTCAAACATATGAAAATAATACTTTTAACAACAAAGTTGATTCTCTAACACAAAATTATAAACTTCTTCAACATCTTATACTTAACCACTCAAACATCTATAACCTATACTACTATATTAAATAGCAAAACTTCCTAGTTGAACAACTAACATGCAGATTTGTTAAAAATATATACAATACACATATTATTGAAACATAGTCATCACAAAACAGAAATTAATTCTGGAATCAAATATCTGACCAAATTGACTAGAACCAAACATAGCTATATATTAGCAATAATAACAAAAGATCATATACTTTACTAACTTTACATTAATCGTTATAATCGTTATATCGATTATAACGATTATAATTGTTATACACATTATAATCATTTTAACAATTATAATTATTATAATTATTATAATCAGTATAACGATTATAATTTTTATAATCAGTATAATTGTTATAATCAGTATAATTATTATAATCGTTATAATTATAATGCCGGAATCCCTATAAAATCCAAGGATCGACATAACCGAAAATTATACTGCGGATTGTCCAAAGGTTACATTTCCGGTTCACAATATACGTATATATATTTTATTTTATATATATATTTTCGGGTCGGGTTCGTAGTTCAAGCTTTAACCCGACCCGAAAATTTCGGGTCGGGTTCAGGTTGGCCAAAACCCGACCTGATGGGAACACTAGACCCGGGTAATAGCTTTAATTGTACGTATCTATGTTAAGTTGCATAAAATCTGTTCGCGAATATCATTACAATTCGATATCAAACACATCCTTAGTTGCACAACATGACTTACTTTTTCGAATACAATAGAGCTAAGCTAACTGCATTTGGTTGATTTAATAAATTCAAGATTCTAGAGTCATCTGCAAACACCTTAAGGTGTAGGGGATACGTAGTTTATACCAGAGTATTTTACTCTTGACTAAACTTTACATATATATAACCAAATTTGTAATATTGTTATCTTAATAAAATTATACAAACTACAATAATAATCTGAAGCGGCGTAATTCTGGAGAATAATCTCCGTCACAATCCTAATATAGGTCTCCTATAGTTCAGTATACCATATTTAGCAAAATGAAAACTTTACTTGATATATATATCTATTTAATCATTTTGTCCATTTATACCGAAAATAATAGCTACGTATAATAATATGATGACCCTTTAAATACGATTTTATTGTGCCTTAGAGAAATTTAATATAAAAAGAATAGAATATTTTTAAACTGAAAAAAAATCACATTTAAAATAAATTCAAATCATGACTGTAAATGAAAACACCTTAAGTGATTCTATGGACAAATTCTGCAAACGCATGAAACAATGGAGTCATGGTGAAGGTGATTCCATTCGTCATGCTTTCAGTCTTGGTCAATTACTACTAAGGGCGAATCCAAGTTCGAGAGACGCAGATGGTACCACACGTGGTATATTTCTAATCGGTGATCAGAATGCTGCGAAATCTACCACTGTAAATAGTATTATAAAACAAGTTACTCTCCAAATGAGCGGCAATACTGACATTAAAATCATTGAACATCGGTACGACCCTGAATTGGAAGATGCAGAATATGATTTGTTTACAATTAATTAATTACCTAATTACCTAATTACCCTTCAAATAGTGCGTGAGTATAAAGATGATTTATTAACGTTAACCAGTGGAATTAAAATCATGTAAATATTTATTCATAAATACTTATCTCTAAATACTTATTTACAATTAATTACCTAATACTCTTCAAACAGTGCGTGAGTATATAAAGATGATTTATTAACGTTAATCAGTGGAATAAAATCATGAACTTAATACTTATTTATAAATACTTATCCCTAAATACTTATCTCTAAATACTTATTTACAAATAATTACCTAATATCTTCAAATTATTTTATTCGCATTATTTAGTCGGTGAGTATAAAGATGATTTATTAACGTTAATCAGTGGAATTAAATCATGAACATAAATACCTATTCATAAATACTTATCTCTAAATACTTATTTACAATTAATTACTTAATACTCTTCAAACAGTGCGTGAGTATATAAAGATGATTTATTAACATTAATTAGTAAAATTAAAATCATAAACATAAATACTTATTTATAAATACTTATCTCTAAATACTTATTTACCTAATACCCTTCAAATCATTTTATTTGCATTATTTAGTCGGTAAATATAAAGATGATTTATTAACATTAATCAGTGAAATTAAAATCATGAACATAAATACTTATTTATAAATACTTATCTCTAATCACTTATTTACAATTAATTAATTACCTAATACCCTTCAAATCATTTTATTAAATTAATTTAGTCTGTGAGTATGAAGATGATTTATTAATGTTATTGAATTAAAATTATTCACATAAATACTTAATCATAAATACTTATTTACAATTATCATAATTAATTATTTAATACACTTCATTTAAATTAATTTAGGCTGTGAGTAGAAAGATGATTTATTACCGTTAATCAGTGAAATTATTGAATTAAAATCATTCACATACATACTTAATCATAAATACTTATCATAAATACTTATTTACAATTAATTACTTAATTCACTTCAAATTAATTAATTTAGTCGGTGAGTATAAAGATGGAATTGCTGAATTAAAATAATTCACATAAATATTTAATCATAAATACTTATCATAAATACTTATTTACAATTAATTAATTACTGAATACACTTCAAATAATTTCATTCAGTGAGTGAGTATAAAGATGATTTATCAGTTGAATTATTGAATTGATCATAAATACTTACCATAAATACTTTTTACAATTAATTAATATCTAATACATTTCAAATCATTTTATTCAAATTAATTTAGACTGTAAGCATAAAGATGATTTATTAACGTTAATCTGTGGAATTATTAAATTCAAATTATTCACATAAATACTTAATCATAAATACTTATCATAAATACTAATTTACAATTAATTAATTACCTAATAAACTTCGAATCATTTCATTTAGTGAGTGAGTATAAAGATGATTTACTAACGTTAATCAGTGGAATTATTGAATTAATCATAAATACTTACTATAAATACTTATTTACAATTAATTAATTATCTTACACTTCAAATCATTTCATTTAGTAAGTGAGTATAAACATGATTTATTAACGTTAATTAGTGAAATTATTGAATTAATCATAAATACTTATTATAAATACTTATTTACAATTAATTAATTACCTAATACACTTCAAATCATTTCATTCAAATTAATTTAGGCTGTGAGTATAACGATGATTTATTAACGTTAATCAGTGGAATTATTGAATTAAAATCATTCACATACATACTTAATCATAAATACTTATCATAAATACTTATTTACAATTAATTAATTCATTTCAAATTAATTTAGTCGGTGAGTATAAAAATGATTTATTAATGTTAATCAGTGGAATTATTGAATTAAAATCATTCACATACATACTTAATTATAAATACTTATCATAAATACTTATTTACAATTAATTACTTAATTCATTTCAAATTAATTTAGTCGGTGAGTATAAAAATGATTTATTAATGTTAATCAGTGGAATTGTTGAATTAAAATAATTCACATAAATATTTAATCATAAATACTTATTTTAAATACTTATTTACAATTAATTAATTACCGAATACACTTCAAATCATTTCATTCAGTAAGTGAGTATAAAGATGATTTATCAGTGGAATTATTGAATTGATCATAAATACTTACCATAAATATTTATTTACAATTAATTAATTATCTAATACATTTCAAATCATTTTATTCAAATTAATTTAGGCTGTGAGTATAAAGATGATTTATTAACGTTAATCAGTGGAATTATTTAATTCAAATCATTCACATAAATACTTAATCATAAATACTTATCATAAATACTTATTTACAATTAATTAATTACCTAATACACTTCAA